TTTAATTTTTTTAAACCCCTATCCCCTGACAGAGAGAGTACAGAGTCACTCTCACACCCGTCACTGCAGCCCGACAAGTGCTGGGCAAGCGTTTGGTGGCAGCCAAACATGCCAGCATTGCCGCGAGCATGGTCACCGTTTTGCCATCGAAACGACGAGCATTTGTCTCTGCTGCTGCCTGCGGCACAGAACTGGGCTAAGCTTTCTGCCGCCTCCAAGGGGGCCAGGGGCCTCCAGGAGTAGGTCAACAATGCTCCATGCGCTGATCTCGGCCTTGGAGCTCAGAATCGTCATCTGCATCGACTGCATCGCACCGGTGTCATTATGCAGACACACAAGGACCCCCCCCCCTCCCGCCCGGCTTTTTTGACTCTTTTTGCCGGCAGGGCAGAGTCACGCCAAGTGCTCACTTTGGCTCGTCCACCTCCTTGGAGACCTGACAGCTCTCGCTTTACTGCAGCCTCCATGCCCTGCGGCAAATCAACCGGCCAAGGATCTTCACGTGTGGAAGTCTCGAGGCCAATCACTTTGGACGGCACGGGCCTCAGCTGCAGAATCCCACGTTAACAATCCTTTCGTCAGGAAGACAGTGCACTGCAAACAAGCAGCACGATCATGTCGAGGTCGCTACTCATATTTCACAGCAGGGCCGAAGGGATCCGTGTTCCACCACTCCCCAGGAATCTTCACTGCACCTCCGGCAGTGCAATGGGCACTGTGTCAACAGTCTTAACATTCATTGGCAGATTTTTCAAGCCTCCGTAGAGCAAAGAACTACCCACCACCAGAAGACCACCGAAGAAGAACGAGATGTGGACTTCAAAGCCGAAGCACACGACTGACAGAATCCTCAGCAGATCCACACGCTGTCGGTGGTGCATGAATGGGTATCGGCAGGAGGAATTCTGCTGAGGCTCGTTGTCAGAACCGTGGCCTGCAAGCCGTGGCACATGTCACGACATGTCAGAACAGCGTACTTCGCGGCCATGGGCCACTTTGAGGCAAGCCACCAGAGCGGTTGAAAACCCACGAAGTATGTTGTCGGCATGCTTGATGACCAAGGCAACCAGCAACCCACCTGCTGCCCATTCTTTTGCAACTCTGCGAGAAGCGTTATGTATGTGTGTATGTATATGCCCCGGGCCTATTGCGTTGTTGAAAATCATGACCCATACCTTAGCGGGCAATTTGTCTGACCAATGCCTGTGCATTGGCAACGTCTCTTGACACACCGTAGTTAAAGACCGGATACGTTGAACGAGAAACCGTGAAAAATTCCATGAGTTTCCTGGCGGTCGGACAGCGCAGCATCAGGCGATCCGCGGGACGCCCCCGTCGTCAAGCCCGTCAAGATCAAGGAGTAGAATGCCTCATGTTAAGTACCACTGCAGGAGGCGTGCTCGTGCATGTCGCCGTGAGACGCATCTAATGTAAGGATTGACAGGTGAAGTCATTGCTTCCGCCCGTTTGGGAACATAGGCTCCAACCCTCTCGACCGCCTGCCCCGCTCAAACCCGAAACCCTAAACACACTGCAAGCTGGCCCGAAAAACTCTAAACCCTAAACCCTAAACCCCTAAACCCTGACGACCCCAAGCCTCAAAGTGCCGCAAACCCCCTTAAACAGGTTGAGGACATACTGTAAGGGTTAGACCAGGGCGGGTGCAGGGGGAGGGGGGGCTAAAAGGCCATTTCCGTTGAACTATCATTGATGGACAAAGGCACCAACTGCATGTTCTGCACCCACATGGATGTCTTTACCGCTCTCCCTGTCTGCTTCACAAGCTTCTCCAAGTATACAGCCTCGGTTGCGGCAGTCTGTGGTAGCCGAGGAAATACCAGGAGTTGGTGCTGGTGTTGCTGGTGGTGGTGGCAGTGCTGCTGGTGCTGATTTTTCTGGTGTTGAGGTTGTTGCTGGTGTTGCTGGTGGTGGTGTGCTGGCGGTGCTGGTGGTGCTGGTGGTGCTGGTGGTGCTGGTGGTGCTGGTGGTGCTGGTGGTGCTGGTGGTGCTGGTGGTGCCGGGGCGCTGGTGGTGCTGTACAGCTGATGCACTGGTGCAGCTGGCGCAGCTGGCCCTGCGGCTGCAGCTGCTGCCCGCTAGGTGTGGAGATGTTGTTCGGGGCGTCCCCGAAACAGTGTCGTGATCATCCCCCGAAATAGCTTCCCCCCACCCAGGTTCGAGCTCTTGCCGAAAGCCCTCCGAAATCCCAAAGTCGAGTCGCAAAGTCCAGAAGTAGGTTTGGTGACTATGTAAGAGGGTCCGCCATCACGAAAGTACTGTAAATACCGAGTAAAACGGCTCTCGCGGAAATATTGCTCGGGGTGTCTGTGTAACAATGTCGTCATCATCTCCCCCACACCCCCCCCCCATCCGAAGCCCAAGTAATTAAAAGACGGAGTGGGTTTTGAGGCCAGATGAATTGGCATGACACGACGAAAGTACCGCAAATACCGAGTAAAACGGATGTGCTCTTAAGAGCGTCTTTATCAAGAGGTAGTTGGCAGGGGGGGCGCTTACTACTGCTGCTACTACTACTACTACTACTACTACTACGACTACTACTACTACGACTACTACTACTACTACTACTACTACTACTACTACCCGCCACCGTGTTTACCGTACCCCTACATTTTAAAAAACGCAGCTGCCGCTGTGGTGGCGTGCTTATTTCAGTGTATTTTGGAAGTACGCAAATGACAAGGCTGTTTTGTGTTTTGTGTGGG